TCCAACAAGCGCTCTCTCCCAAAGCTCATCACCTTTGCGAGCCAAGCGTTGCCCGCCTTGCAGGAGACCTGCGTTCAAACCCCCCTTGCTTTGGGACCAGAACAAACACCCGTCTCATCCCAACCACTATTTGTTTTGCTGAATTTCCACGGCAGCTTTGATGAAAGGCATGTCTTGGAGGAAATTTTCTGAGAGGCCGAAGCAGTGCACGCACAGTCTTGTGTAGAGCAAGACACGGCTTTCCTCTTTGCTGTAGCTGCCCGATTATTTCCCCAGCTAAAGGGGAAGTGCCACCTCCTCCCCTGCCCCAGCTGCACGCCCCACTGCAAATCCGACCTCCCTGAGCTGAAACCGAAAGCAGCTCCGTTAGAGCTGAAGGTACCTGCTGCTACCACCCAGTGGAAAGACAGCTCACAGCCAGCGAGCGCTTCACGAAGGTTTGGCCAAGGAAAGGTCGCAAAAACTAATCCCGTACGTCCCTACGGCACTATAAAGCTGCTTGCCCATTCTTATCCTGCTTAGTTCATCCTCGCAGACACCGTAAGTCTTAAATTTGGACACAAAAACCTAGAAGGTTTGAATGCTTTTATTTGATTTTTTTTTTATACAGCAATACAAATTATACAGATTCATTACAGTACAGATTTTGCAGGGGTTTATAGAGGTACTCAGTGATTTTTTGGTTTATTTAAAAGAAAGAGGCAGATCTTGGGAGCACAGTGACATGAACAAAATGATCTCACAGTAGGAAGCAAATCCCTACCATGGGGAACACTAACCTGTCTGAAACCTACTGGGCAGGAAGGTGGTGGCAGCGTTCCTGGCAGTAACATACCCAAAACGTCAACCCTGGGATCCTCTAGAGCTTTACACGACAGTTTGTGAGCTTACAGGTAAGCAGGTTGATCCTGTAACAGTGCTGAGAGCGCTTAAAGCCCTTGGATGCACTTTGCTGGCAAAGGGGGTGGAAATGAGGGAAGCCAACGTTAACATTAACCTCCCGCTGGGCAGGCGACGTCGTGTAACAGCGTCGTGGCAGATATGGAAAAGGAAACTATAAAATGCTTCGGATTTAGTCACCCAAACAGCTACAGTAAAATGTGGAACATGAGCTTAGACCTAGTAACAGCGACACCGTACGCACACCGTGACAGCGCCTGCGCAACCAGAACCCGAGCCCCTGTTCCTTGGGCCCGTCTAAGCTTCGGGTTGAAGTGAGCAGGCGCGGGGGGAGCCAGCGAAGCTCCTGTGCAAGCTGCACACCTACAGCTGTGGCAGTACGTTCCTCCAGTTCGTCCAGAAAACACACTGTCATCAAGATACTGCTACTACTAATGTGCACCAGGCTTGAGAGCCAAGTGTCTGGCACTGAAGGATTAAATCCTTTCAGAAAGCGGGGTCAAAGAACATGATGATACCATTTTAAAAGCTTCTAAATCAGTTTGGTTTGATACTGCTATAGTGAGTGGTACCACAAGTAACAGAATAAATTGCAGATTATATAGAGAAAACATATGCACCCAGTAAAAGACGGCCCTCTGCCACTTCAGATGTACTGGATTCCTTCAAATCCTGCAGTGGGCTAAGTGGCATTTGAGAGGAGGGATTCAGCTACCAGATTAGAAAATTCTGGTCTCAGCTGGAAATCAAATTCCTCTTCAGCCACAGAAATTCCCCTTTCCGTAAAAACAAGACAAGCATCACCTACAAAATTTCATCCCAAGAATCCAGTCCAGAGTAGTGCCCTTGAGAACCACAAGGGTGACCGATCCTACGCTGGAACAGCCCCATTCCTTCAGAGCCTTTGCTCTTATCTGGTAGGGAAACACAGAGACCACCAGGATGTAAAACAGAAACTTCACACCAATTTAAGACGCTCGCAGTTAAGAGCTTATTGCCCGTGTTCTTGCTGAAAGCCAGGGTGAACAACCACGAGACGTACTTCTACCCACGGAGAAGGAACAAGGTTGGCGGAGAAAACCAGTGATCTGTGCCTGATCTGCTGCACTGGTTGGAGCAAACGTGGCACACGCAGCCTTTGTCCAAAACACACTGCAGGTGAGCAGGGGGATTCCTGGCCAACAGGCACTCCGAACGAAGCAGGCAGCGGGACAAGGGCTGCTCTGCAAGGTGCTACACGCGAGCGCTCTGACATAAGGGGTCGCACATACACTCCCGAGTTTGCTGGCTTTATTACTGAATCTTTTCTACAAAAAGGAAGGGCTGCAATATCACAGGACTTGCTCTAAAATTCTCACAAATTTACTACCTTTTCTGAAGACAAGTCGGCAGCTAGCGCTACGGGTAACAAATGCTCCTTACGATATGCTACGTGCTAAAGTCAGGACTGAAACAGTAATAGAATTCATATGACAAGTATCGGCATCACCCAAAACTGCCCTGGGACGGCGAGTCTTGGCCACAATCGCTCTCTGTCACAACTAGCTCGGGGACACCCAGCAGAGCTTCAGCGATTCACGGTCAGCACTGGAGACTTTCAGTAGTGCCAGCGCAGCTCAGCGGTGGGCTAACATCTTGTTGCTACTCCAAGCAAGCCACCCTCGAGGGCATAAATTCAACCTGCCTCTACCACCAGCCCACCATTTGAGTATGGGAACACTCCTCCACCTCTTCCTTCAGCCCTCAGAAACACACAAGCACAAGCACAAGGAGCCCCTCGGATGCTGTTGCTGACTTGCCCAGCCCAGCGAGTTGGCAACACATCCGTGCCAGCGCTGGGCTGCTGCCGTGACAGGACTGGGATCAGCTCTCCCAGGACCGCTCCTGGGTTTGGTGGCTCCGTGGGGTTTATCTGCTGGTGATTAACAGCACGTGAGATGTGTGCTGCTTACTCCTGCCTGTCCCACTGCTCCTCCACAGACCACACCAGCCTTCCCCACCTGCAACCCGAGTGGAGAAACACAACAAAGCGCTTTCTACAGTAGCAAAGCAAATTCAGTTTCAGTTCCAAACACTGGCTGCTGCATTCCTGTCTTCAGTTCTGCTTATTTTTTTTTAAGTTCGAGCTTGAAGGAAGCTTTGCACAGCTACTAGAAATAACTTGGTGAGAATATGAACAGCCACAAAGGGAATCATCCATTTGTTACCACCGCTGGTAAGCTCCTCAGTCTAGGCTTTGCCATGCTAGGCTGAGCTTTAAGCTGCAGGTAAAATCAAGCATTACAGCTTAAACCTTGACTGCTTTTTGCTGGTGGGCCGGGGAAAAAATAACCTTGCTTCCTCCTATGAAACTGAAATGCCACATCCATCTATTAAATGTAGTTTTGTCAACTGTTGACACAAGCTAAGTTTGACACGCGTCTGTACAGGAAAATGTTCATCAATTACATTTTTGAAGTGGGGGAAGAAAAAGGGTTGGAGGAGTCTGACCCCAAGCCGTACAGGAAGCATAACGCAGAATGCTCCAAAGAAACCTGGCAACGCATTAATCCCTGCACACAAAAACTACTAAAAATAAAAAAAAAAAGATATGAACTGATCCTGGGATCAGGCTGCATTCACTAGCAGGAAACCCTTGACCAAATAAGTCTCTGCAGAGGGAGGACTACGATGAGCCCTTTTCCACCTCTCTGCCTTCCCCGCAGAGCAGCGGTACTTTCCCCCGTGCAGAGCGGTGGAAGGACTGCCTCCACTGTCAGGGGCTCCGAAAGACCGGCTAGAGCAAGCCTTGGGCAG